TGTCTTCTTGGAGGTGTCTGAAACTTGGTGAATCTCCAGTTTTATTTCTTGCCTAGCTGATCCAGCTCAGAGCTATCATCCATTAGCTTTTTTCCCCCCTCTGAAATGATTCACTTACAAACTTCTTTCCTCTGAATCAGCCATCAGACACTCGAGAGCCCAAGAAGTAGCAGTAAGCTGCTTTTTCTCATTCTTATACCGCTATCTGTATGGTGTAAAATCAGATAGTAAAAAGGGGTGAGGCAGTGGAGGAGGCCTTCATCATGTGCCTTAAAAATCTTTATACCAGAAAACGGTATGAGACTGCAGCACATATTTATTGACACCTTGAATAACTGAATTTATGTAAAAAGTGGATTCTTTACAATGATTCCATCATTATCAGGATTTTTTAAAATGCTGATCTCATATTTTCTTTTGCATTCAAAGGCATAAGAGAGAATTTTGTTGAACTCTAATAAAAAGCATTCTTAGGGCTTGGTATTGCAATTATTGGAAACTGAGGGTGTTAAAAATGACATGACAGTTCTGTATTAGCTAATGGCATATTTTAGGAATGATTCCTTTTTATTCCATAAAAATCTCAATATTTACCTCTATTCAGTCTTTTAAATGACATGATAAATTATTGAAGCTGTGTTTTTAAAATATGAGATTTTTTTTCATACCTTTTATCCTCTGTGAAGTCATGTGCCTTACAGGATTCCTATTGTGATTCCTTGTATCTTTAATATAAACTGTTTCTACCAAGTTTCAAGCAATTGGTCCTGTCAATATTATTTCAGGGTTTGTTGGTTTCAGGAAACAGAGTTATCACTGTGAGAGCATTATTGGTATGCTCATTAGGAGAAAAAAAATGTGCTTTACATCTGTATTTATAAATTATTCTTTGATCAGCCTGTCAGTACTGTACACTTAGAACAGCATCAGAGCACTGAAATAGTAATAATAAGGGGAAATAGCAGTATCACCTTTATCCCTTCTAAAAATAGTGCTGCCACAAACGTTAGAAAGGCAGGGTATGGGAAATGCTGCTCGTAGGGAGAGCAGAGCAGCAGCAGGGCTGGAAACACTGGGCTTAGGCTTGCAGGGCTCCTGCCCACAGTTACCTGGAAAAAGAAATAGCCCAGCCCAAAATCTGGTTTAAAAAGTCTGTGTTTAAAAACCAGTGAGAACAGGTCCAGTATCAGCACTGAAAAAAGTGTGAAAAAGCAGCAAAGCCAGCATGAGCAGATGAAGGGTTTCTGAAGGAGCCAGCTAAAGCAAACTGAGAAGTAAATTTACCAACTCTTGACAGTTCTAACTAGAGAGATTTGGAGCAGATAACAAGGAGGTGTTTTTAATATTATTGAAATATATCACAGCAGGAAAGACATTTTGGGAAAATCGGACTCTCCATGCTTCCTTGTCCCCTGCAGAGTGGTTGACATCCAGGGGATAAAGGATGCTGATGGGCTGGGGAAAGGGTGGGGGACCAGCAATGTTCCTTCCTGGTGGAAAAGCAGGGAAAAGCAGTGCCACAGCCAGCCTGTGTGACGCTCTCAGTTCACAGCCCAGGCAAACACCTGCTGAGCAAAGCAGGAATTTCTGGGAGCAGCATTTGCACTGGGCAACTCATGAGCTGATTGCTTGTGTGATGGGAACATGTGGGGGTTTTAATCACATCTAATAACAACGCAGCTGCCAAAGGCAAGCAAGGGGAAGGGAATCTGATTCTTCTCCACCCAGCATTGTTGTGAAACTAACTGTCGACTTCCATGCTAATAGAGCCAAAACCAGCAGACCCAGCTTTAAAATGTAATTCTAAGACACAATAGTGTGTTTGGTTTTAGTTTCTTTAATAGCACAGCTAGGAAAGTTGATCCTTCATGGAATACTTTGCTAAAATGAAAAGAACATCAATATTTTTCTTCCAAATAAATACATATTTGAATTTCATCAAGCAGGGTCCTTGCAAAAATAATTACGAAAATAGATATTAGCTGAGCATGAACGAAACTACCCCTTGTTTACCTGAATTAGGAAAAGGATGATTAATGGTAATGAACGTGTTACATTACTCATTTGTCAAAAAAGATCAATAATGTTAAATACCCCAGGAATGTCACAAAGCTGCCTCCAGTGCTGTGCGAGTTTTGTGAACAATTCTGGTGGAAAACTGTCTGTCAAAGGGGCCACTTCACAAACAGAGTTCTGCTTCCTGCTTCCCTCCTACCCTCCTGCTTGGTGCTGAGGAATGACCCCTGCTAACAGGGGGAAAAATAAATCTAGAAAATAAGTATGGTAATTTTTTGCTTTTATTTGGTTATTTTGCAATGCAGATAGTTTCAGGGGGGCAGGTACAGTTACAATTAGGGAAAACGTTTATCCCCAGAAGGGGGGTGGGGGAGCTCATCAGTGATGCCCCTGTGCAGGGGAGGGACTGGGGGCTCCTGCTGGCAGGGCTGCTGCCCCTGCTGGCCCTGCTGCTGCTTGAGGAGAGCGTGACACAGCCCAGGAGGAGAGGCCAGAGCGTTGCTTGTGGCAACACTCTCTCCTTGTAGCTCTTCTGTAATTATTTCACAGTTTTTATGTTTCTGTGTGATGCAATGCAAATTCCTGGAGGCAGCAATAACTTGCCATGGAGGACCAATTAGTGGTCATCTCAGGAGAACTCACGTGGTTGTATCCAGTTGTCACTGAGCCAGATCCAGAAGTGGTTTATGTGATGAGCAGGGATTGCTTTTCCCATTAAGAGTCTTGCAATACTGGGGAACAGCAATATGATAGAGCTTACATAGTAGCTTGAAACCAGATACTTAGAATACATAGTAATTAAATGTGCTCTGACAAGTAATCTGGACAACCTTTTTAAAGTTACTACAGCACTCACTCTGCAGATTTGAGAACGGATGCCCTTAGTTTGTATAGAGGAGTGGGATAGAGACAAATATAATCTTCCTGATTTTTCACTGATTCCCCTTCTCACCCTGAGTGAGTTAATTTAACCTTCCCTTGGCTCACTTTTCCCACCTACAAATTATGTACATTGTTGTTTAAGTACCTCAGAGAGATATTTCAAATTTTAATTAGTGTTTGTAAAATGCTTTGGGTTATTTGGATCAAAGTGTGATTTATTATTCAGTAATGTATGTTATTGTGTGGTAGGTGTACACTGCATATGCTGCAAAGGAGGGTGGCAGCAAATACACTCATTTTTACTTTGTTATCTCTTTATATAACGTGGGCTGTAAGGTTCCCTTTCTTTGGTTTCATTTCCAACAAGTTTGATCAAAGGTGTTTTGATTTTTCACACCCTTGCCCTTAATAGGTATTCTAGTGCATTTTTATGTGAAAAAGACCTAATCATATGAAGGGAAGAGACCACTAATATCCTGACATACCAATACTAATTGGGCACCTCCATATATTTTTACTGAGCTCTCGTTCTATATCAACATGAATATACATATCATATTGGCTAAAGGTCATGCTAGTATGTGAGGTCTAATTTTAGCAGAATCCAGTTAGAATCCTGTCCAAAAATGTGCCAAAAAACTCTTCTCCCACATGCTAGGCCCCAGGAACAGGGAGCACACAGGGAACTTAGGGCTATGCAGGAATGGGAAATGAGCCCTTCTAGTGAGATTTGCTTTAAGTGATCCCTGTAAGGAAGACCCTGCAGACGGGAACAAACTGAGGATTGGATCTATATTCTCAGAGAGATAATTTGCCAGTTGCAGTATCTCCAGATGAGGATATGAGCTCTGAATTAATCAACTTTGTTTACATTTTTACTAATATGAGTAGATTTCTCTGCAAGTTGTTTTAGTTATGGGTATTATTTCTCATGTTGGGAATGACAGACGAAGCCAGAAAGCACTTCTGAAATTCACTGCAGTACAAACCCACACTTCCAAAGATATCCTACCAACAGCACCACTCAGGTCCATCTTATGCACTTACACATTGATTGGTTTTCATCTCTGCCCTGTCCATTTGCAGGTTTATTTCCTGTGATAATCCTTCTGAGCCCTCTCCCTCCTTGTTGGCCACCAGCGAGAGAGAGCCTGGGGAAGATGATCCTATGTTTTTAGCTCCTAAAGGAAAACAACCTGTTAGAAATGTGCATATTTTAAGGGCAGAATAGGATATCCAGTTGTGGAAAATGCACAGCACCATCCCTCCTGGAGGGAATAGAAAACAGACTGCTAAGAGGGAAATCTTCAGGAGAAAACTCAGGGCTTAGGGAAGCTGTGCAGGACCAAGTAGTGGGGAAAGAGCACTTCTGCTTTGCATGATGCTGTGGGTGGATTTGCCTTCAGTTATGCTGAGGCATCAAACACCAGGTTCAGAAAAAGAAAAATAGTATCAAACTGGCAGGGTGCAAATATAAACTCTTTATAAGATCAAGTGGAAAGATGATGATATGACAGGCACAGGGAAGCTGTGGAGAGGCCACAGGGACCTGTGGTGACGTTTTCTGGGCTGCAACACCATGCCCCTGCCCCCTCTCATTTTAGAGTATTTAAAGTCTGTAGCAGTACAATTATAGCAAACTAAAACTCAAAGTAACTGCTTTGATTATGAGGAATTAGATCAACTGCACTGCTTTGAAAGAATTTTAACTGAATGGATGACCTGCATAAAAAAAGGACAAAATTACTTGATGGTGTTGACCACAAGATGGATTGGAACTCAAACACTATTTCTTACAGATGAATTTTAATAGCTATGAATTTATTGAAATACATATGTGTAAGTATGTAAGATGTACCTCCATGTGCCCCACAATACATTTAGAAATATCTGTCTTAACTTTGTAAAACACACAAAACTAAATGATTAACAGTGGTTTGAAACAGAGCTGACACTGGCAAATTAGAATAGTAATTCACTATTGCTTAAGACTTGAACTCAATTCTTCTACAAAGAGCTAATTCACTATATGGAGAAAAGGAAGAATCACTCAGGACTACAGTGTCTAATAACCTGTTGTCCCTTTCTTTTCTGTTTCCAAGGTTTTGCTTTTCCATGCAACCCTAAAGAGTGGACACAAAAGACATATATTTGCTTGAAAGGTGAGAAATAAAATATATGTCTGGACTTTAAGTGGCTCCACACGGCACTGATTCTTGTGTTTGATTTTCTTACCTGTCTACATACAGCCCTCACTCTGTTCCTCTGCTATTGTGCTCAGTGTCACTTTTGCTGAAGGAAAGTGGCTGAAATGTCGCTTTAACCAAACATCTTGAGATTTTGGAGACAGGTCTGAAACTGAAAAGAGATTGATTCTCATGGGAAAACCGTGTTGTTGGACAAGGAGATGTAAATCACAGCTGGCTTACAAAACAAGTGAGAAAACAGATTTTTTTTTCTTTTTTTTTTTTTTTTTTTGCTAAATTGACAAAGCGGGGGAGGCTAGGCTCTGTCAGGCTAAGGAATCCAGCTTTTCCAGGGCCTGGGCTCCACTGCTCACCTGAATGCATCTGGGAGGAACCCTGCTGCTAATACCCATCCAACACTAAAGCTGTTTAAGTGCTTTTTTCTCACAAGCATATTACCAAGTGTCTTTGAGATCCCTCGATTCCCACCAGTATTGTACAACAACTCTCACCATTCTTATGAGATTTGTTGTACAGTACTGGTGGGAAATGGGGGATCTCACCCCATTCTTGCTTATTTTAAGCTTCTAAATAGTTTTCTTTTCCATTGGAGGAATTTCCCTGTGTGCAGCAAGGAAGCCATTCTGTACATCTTACAAGAGGGTTAATGCTGAGCTGTGGTCTCTGACAAGGGCTGATCCCACCCGGGGATCAGGAATGAAACTGTCCATGTGGCTGCCAATTCCCTTGTTTCAGGGGCTCCAGAGACTGTCCCTGTGAATGGAGTTACTGGTCTATATTTAGGGAGTTGGGTACAAAACTCTGGGAGAGAGTTGGGAATACTAAAGGGGTGTGGAAACCTAGTGCTCAAGAGAAGAACCAGAGGGATGCACAAGACAGCCCTTCCAGAGAGTCAGGGAATACAGGGCACCAGGCAAGGGGAAGCAGGGGCAAAGCAAGGGGAAATGGAAGGTCACTGGCCTGGGGCCCAGCTGTGTCAGCCAACAGCAGAGTGCTGTCCTCACAGATCCCATTTCCACCTGCGAACCAGCGGAGGAGGAGGAGGAGGAGGCTGGGAGTCCATGCCCTCTGCAGGAGTCAAAAGCTGCATCCTACTGTGGCCAAGACATGGCCAGCTGAGTGTGGAGCATGCCAGATACACTCACCAGAGGACAGAGTGCCCCGTGCCTGTGCCTCCTCTTGGCTCACTCTTCACTTTCTATTACAGCTCTTTTTCTGCGCCTTGCCCACTTAAAGCAGTCATTACTCTTTTTTAATCTCCTAACAATAGAGAAAATTTCACCTTCTGCATTTTATATGGCTCTGTCAGTACCCTCTAATATTTTTGATTTCAAGAGCTTTTTCTGAACCTTTTAATTCTCAAGACTAGAAATCTTATTCAGATAGTAATTCAGTCATCTTTAAAAATCTCTACCTATATATTCACTGCTGTGATCCAGGATATCTCATTCTTCCATTTCTTCCTAAATCTTCCTTTAGAGTTCATTTATTTTTAGTTTTGCCAATAGTAATTTTCTTCAATAGGAAGTTTTTATGTGCTGGAGAATAATCTGAATGATTTTTTTCCTTTCAGGAAAATTTTGTTTTTCCTTCAAAAGACGGTGGATAGATTTGCCATGAGATGATTCCTAGAGAATATGTGAGAGCATGCTAACATCATCTGACACCTGTCAAACCAGCCATCTTCCCCCATGTCTCGTGCTAGAAATTGAAGCCCAAAGGTAGGTGTCCTCTGAGATGGTGGTAATTTCCAGTAAGCAGATTTAGAGGAAAATACTTTTTTTTTCTTCTTTCAAGGCTTTCCTGAAGAACTGAAAACATGCTCTTTTTATTTTTATAGCTCATTGGTAGCAGTTCTTCTAATTTAATCATACATACATACAAATGCACATATGCACACACTTGCAGCAAGAAATAACTGTACTAAAAACTTTAATGATACTGAGGAAGCAGTCACCTGTTACTCTGCTCTGGCAGTTTCAGCTGTCTAGTGAACTTGAGTTATTGTGGTGATTTATCATAACTACTTTAAGCCATATGCTATACTCTGCACCTATATTTTATATTTATGGCTTCCTGTATTGAATACTTAAATTTTCATCTTATTTTCACAATGAAAGAATTTTTCATGTGAAAAGCACTAACTAAAATTAGGTAATGATTACTCCTTGTCTCATCCTTGGTACTCGTTACCTTTTTTTTCAAGTGTTTGACCAAACTTGTACCCATTTCACTTGTATTCAGAAATTTGTGTCACAGGGGTGAATAATGTTAAGGTCAGCACTGTTGGTAGTTTTCTAGGGATGACTTCTTGGATGTGTAAACAGTATAGGCTGAGGCTGAAGGTCGTTGCCTGAAGCCCCTGAGAAGTGGTGTTCCTGATGATGGAACGGCTGGACAGTGTGCCCTGACAGCAGTGCCTTCCTAGACATTGCTCACCTCCCTTGGCTGCCTGTTCTCACCTGATCAGGCCAGCCCCTGTCTTTCTGGGCTGCTCTGGAGGAACAGCTTCAGGGTGGTTCTACAAACCAGATCACCAAAATGAGCCAGAGGAGCTGAGAGGTCTGGTGGTAACACAGCATCCCTTCCCCTGTCTGGTTTCACGGGTCATGATCTGCAGAAACAGAATGGGGAGGATTGGGGATTAGCAGCCACAAGCTCTTCCCTCCTGGAAAAAATGGCTTCACCACTGAAGAAAACATCAGTAACAACAGAGAGCATAAAAATAAAGTAGGCAGATTAAGACCTTTATTAATTTATATTAATTGATCTTGGTAACTACCTTATCTGTGCCTTGAGGTCAGTTTAGGGCTGTGCCCAACTTTCTGCCTCTTGTTTTGCACAGAATTACCAATCACTTTGCACAACCTACACAGTAGTTACCATTGCTTCCCTTCCCTGGTTATAATACTTGAATATACAGTAGTAGTTTCTTAGATAATTTCATTTTCTTGTTGTTTCTATTGGAGGAGAGACAGCAGAGAGGAGGAGGTAAATAGTGGATTTGATCTTTAAATTGAACTCTGCAGGATAGGAGATGTTACAATGCTAGGTTGATGGCAGAGCCTGAAATGCAGGACAACTCTTTGCCCTGAAATGCTACCAGCCTTCTTTACTCTGCCTTCCAAAATAAAACACAAAATAAATAAAGCTTCCAGCATCAGTAAACTTCCCTCTGTTTGAACTGGCATCTGGCCAACTCATTTGGACTGTTCTCCCCACTGGTAAAAAACACCCATGCAAGGAGGGAAAAAAAGCTGAGGAGGCCCCTATGATGGCATATGAAAGAACCCCTCGCCAATTTTCTTATTTGAACAATATAACAGAAAATCTTGGACTCAGTGTTTAAAAACAAGCTTACTCGCACTCTTTTATAACTCTAATTTTGTTTTTTTGAACATTTATCACTTAAAACCATACAATTGTTCATCTGAGTGAATACATATACAAAACCCATTCCTCTTTGGTGTTTTAGCTGGGATTCAAGAAAATAGGAAGAAAAAAAAATATCTGTACACAGATGCAGCAGTTTCCTGGGATTTTAGCCTCCCTCCTGGACAGCAGTGGCACACGTGTTTGGATTCTCTGGTGTGTGTGTTGGGGTTCCATGGCTGAATGCATGAATTGCACAGGCAGTGGACTGAGATGCATTTTCAGCATGGTTTCTGCTCAGTCACTTATAGGTATTTATGATTTGGTTTTAGAAACAACCAGACTCTGCCCCACATGTTCTAGAAATTTAAAACCAGAAAGGTCCTGCACAAGTACTGGCTGCAAATAGGTTATTTTTTGAATGCTGGTGTATATGCAGAGACAGTTGATAACAATTGACAATTAAAAAGCATTTGATATAAGTGATGAAAACATCTACCTGGGAGGTTTGCCCAGTGTCAGCTACTTTGAGACTTGAACCCGAGTTACTGTCTGTACATTTCCGTCTGTGTTTCTGGATTTACACAGGTGAAATGTTGACCTAGAAGAATATGGAACAAACCACTACAGCTTTAAGCTGCAGAGGTTTATAGGGAAAAAAAAAAAAAAAGGGCAGAAACAAAGGCAAGCAGATGGCTAAAGATGAAGGTCACATCAGATTGAGAAGTTTGTCAAAATGTGATGACATAGGTAATCTGTAAACTGTTATTGCACCTAGCTGGAGGTGCTGAAAAACATTTTGAAATTACAAAAAACACTGGAGTCACCAGCACACAGGCAGGAATGATAGCCTGGAGTGGTTCTGCTCTATGGATGAATGCCAGATGTGGAAAGCGACATATCTGGAATTAATGATATTAAACATGCTTTTCTTTTATGCTCAATAATAACTCTATTATGATTGATACAAACCGCAGACACTTTATCTAGTACAAATGGAATCGTCTGTCATTGACTATATTAAATCATCAATTTCTGCATGATGAGAATCGTTTAGGGTAACTAATCATCTGTCTCGTTCTGAAGTCTTTAAGGCTGATCAGATAACGTTTTGAATACTGCCTGAGCAACCATGACAATCTAACCCTTCCATGTAAGGATTGAGAGGGGCCCATTATGCCGTCAAAGCCTGTGGAAATATCACAGCTCTTTCTCTACATAATACCCTGCTGTAAATAAATCACTCTCCACCGCAAACTTTATTGATCACAAGCACTTCCATGCTTGTGTCTAGTGAAGTCTCTACAGAATAAAATGCTGCTTTATATTTTGTCTTGTCAAAATATTAAACGGCTCTGTCAAGCGGAGTCAGGCTAGCAGTGATGGTGTAATTCTGCTGTAGCCCTTCTCATTCCCTCTTTCTATCTCAGCTGCCAAGCTTACAAAGCAGGATTTTTTTTATAAACTTTCCAATTATAGTCTCGTAAGATTATGAAGCCTTAAGATAAAGTGTCCTAATTTAGAGTGGTAGAGTACTGGAACCACTAGACAAGAGCCTGTTAGATAAAATATTTCTCACAAGAAAAAGATAACCTGGCTTATTTATATACACAACATTAATGGGCAATAGGAGATAGCCTGGAATATCCCTATTATTTTACCAAGTGAGATAGGAGAGAAATATTTGAATTAATTCAAGCTCAAAGTGTTTATTATTCACAGACAAAAAACATCCCTCTTATTACGAGACAAATGTACCAAAGGAGGAAACTGAGAGGTTCCAAGCAAGCACAGAGCTTTGCGTTTCCACACCCTATCGTTAGTCTGTAATTCTGTAAATAAGATAATGTATCTGTAGTGATACAGAAGCACAGAAGCACCGGCATGGTTTGAGGGGGGGGAGGACTGCTCCTGCCTCCGACTTCAGCTCACGTTGTGTTTGTCGTTGGATGGTCTCACTCCAGCACTGCTCAGACACACAGAGCGCTGCTCTTTTTTAACACCCCGCCAATCTCCGGGGGAAAAACCCAGGGTCTTGCAGAGCTTTGCTGAGAACAGCCCGGGCAGATTGTAAGGAGATTTGGGGCTGTCCTTGGGAGGACGCTGGAGCACTTTCGGGGCTGCTTGACGTTGTAATAGTATTCACTACCTCAGGACTGCAGAATCTTAAGCTCTGTCAAGCATTCCCATATGCTTCCCTCTCCAGGAAAGGCGAATAAGAGCCAAAAGTGGTGGCAAAAAATTCTAACCTGTGCTGAAAATAAGGCTGAAACACAGAAACAGGGAGCTGACAGTGACTTCCTGACTTCTGGGCTTCTCAGGGAATCGTAGAAAATCTGGTCTCAAAATCACCATGTGTTATTCCCTTCCCTGTTTGATTTTCATGCAGGTAGAGTTTCTGTTCAGGGAGCATAAATGTGGAGTTCACAACCAACCTTCTTTCTCTTGGTTGTCTTTTTTTTTTTCCTGTGACAAATCAAAATCCATATTAGGTGAGAGAACAGCAGAGAGACCATCTGCAGAGGAAGATGGGCAATTGTGAAAAGAGGTCGAGAACAGAATAGGGAAGAAGGAGCAGCGGAGCCAGGGGTCAGCGGAAGGACAGAGGCCGCGAGTTGGAGGTGTAGCCACTCATCCCACACGTAAGCTCCTTTCTCTGAGGCAGCGGGGAGCGATCTCTCTGAAAAGCACCTACCGCAAGGAAGTCCTGACTCTGCTGTGCCTTACAGATATGACTCAAACAGAGATACTCAGTCTCAAAATGAAAGCAGGCAGAGTGAAGTTACTGATGTGTCGGACACTTGACAGTGAGGGCTCCTGAGCAGCAGAGTGCTAGCTGTCCCCATGAGTGACAGGCGCACCATCAGGTTTTCCAAACTGCGTATGCAATCACCACAAATAGTTCTTTCCTGTCATCAAGGAAATTTACTTTTTAAGTTATGCTAGCCAAAAAGTATTCCAGTGACCTAAAGCAGACATGGGCAATCTCTGAGCCAAGCAACTGCAGGAGTATTTAGAAGTCCTAAAATGTTCTGGTCACTCTCCCTTGTCCTTGCTCTTCCTGGTCCATGAACTGTTCCCCTTCAAATGGGACTTAAAGATTCCCTTACAAGAAAAAAGTATTTTGAAATTACTAAATGAAACACTAGATTGCTCTTTCCCAAACTCTGTGTGTTGATGTTTCATCTACATTTTTAAGAAAATATGTTTACCTGGAATACCATTGCTAGCTTCCTTTGGTTTCTTTATGCAGTTTTGAAAAATTGCAGTCTACCATCCAAACATTTTTTGAGATTGATTTCCAAAGGAATGGGTGTTAAAAATAAGAATGACTGGTGTTATGGAAGAGTATAAATACATCCATAACTAACATATGGATTTATCTCTTTGCAGACATTCTAGGATAGTTCTAGGTCATAGTTAAAAATGCATAGCAGAGAACCTAAAAAGAAAATAAGAGCAGAGTTCTCATTATTCAAAATAATAATTTTTATAAGCATAAAAAGAAGTCCAAAAGTAAGCAGCAGAGTTTGTATGAAATGCAATAAACATTTTTGTTATGCAAATAGAGTTAATGTAATTAAGAAAATGCACTGTGACTGTCTTCAAGTTAGAACTAAACTGCAGAGCTCAGAAACAATGGATGAAAAAAAGGAAAAAGATATTACTCAAAAGAGGTAACTATTAATGACAAGTCAGTCTATAGTTACACCAGAGATTACTCTGGTGTCAAAGAATTGCTTTTCATGGCTGAACAACTTCAGGATCAAACACCTGGAACAAGATAAACAGCTTTACTTAAAACATACTTCCATGAAATAGTTTGCTCTCCTTTAACTTTCACTACTTTTGTGGGCATGGCTAGTGGGAGGAAAAAAGGAGGGAGGGGAAGGCAGAGAGAGAACGGATCCCCCAAGAGTGGTGTGGTTTGGTCAAAACCTCCAGACCCTGAAAATCTTTGCATACTAACATCTGAAACAGGTGGTCCTGGGCTCATTTTGTGAGCAGAAGTTGCTGTGTGTCGACCTTATGCTCCTGAGCCTTCTCAGATGTGTAGCCAGGAGGGATCTGTCTGACTGTGTGTGATTTTTTTATATCTTTCAGCTGAATCACAGGTCTTAATGCAAAATGCACTTAGGGACAGCACAGGGAATTGTGACTCTCCCTATAGGACTTTTTCACTGTAAACCAATAAATGGATTACACTGATCTAAAAAAACTACTGATGTAGTTTTTTCATCTCTGATTGCTAAAATGTGGATAAAGTCTTCATTTTAATATTTAATAGCAATAATCTTCATTTAATCAGCAATACAAGTATAATTTATTGGAAACCTCATTGACTATTGTGAGTGGAGATTTTCTGTGCTAGCTACTAAGG